AACAACTCATCCCTAGCTTCTGGTTAGATCCCCAACTGACATCTTCCTCTGCTGCTATCCATCATTACCACCATCACCCTCTTCCCCCCATCTGCCCCCAAACGTTCCAAGATCACCTCTTACTCCTTCCATCTTCTCCAACCACTATCTCATTTCCAATGGTCCATTCTTCTTCCAAGTCTTTGAACACATCTATGTTTCAACTAAAATTTCCCATCTCTTCAAAGCTCCTCAATTCAAGCTTTTACAAAGCAATGCTGGAAACTACATTGGTTAAACACTGCTGAGTGAAGCATGTTTTCAGTTGCTGCACTATCATGCACAATGGCTCCAGAGCATGCGTGCAGCAAAACACTTCACCTTCTTTCAACATTTTCTTCCACAACACATCTCCAGCAATACCTTCTCCTCTTGTTCCCAGATCACCACCCCCTTGGGATTTCTTAGGATTCCATCCTTGGGTCTGCCCCTTATCAGTTATGTACTAGCCTTCAGTAAGATCTGAAGTCACTTGACACAAGACTACACCCAGCTTTAATTTCTCCCTTAACTCTGTGGCAAGAGTAAGCTGCTTATCCAACAGGGAAATAAACAAACAAACCTGTCCCAGCTTAACATTAGCAAAATGAAGTCCCCTCTGGCTCCAACGTACTTTCTGCGCACACACCACATCCTCGACTTTTGTCACCTCTAGATGCAACATCTTGGTGCACTGCTCAAATACAATCCCCCAACAATATGCAATAAGGTATTTAATTGATAGCAATTCACATTACCTGCCTTCAGAAACAGACCAAAGAAAAAAACACCTGATGTATGTGAGCACAGCAAGATCCAGCTTAGGAACAGATTGATTTATGCATCTACTGGTATTTATCACTTTCACCCGTGGCCAAATTTGAATATGAATACAAACTGCTCTGATGGCAGTGTTTAATACATGGATTTTCATATACTGACTCAGGCAGGGGAAGACATACTGAGATTTACCACAGATTTTAACTATAGTTTAATCCAAATACCAGTTTCCATCCTTCCCTCCTGGATGCTCTCTCCAGCCAGGGGATAACTCCTCAGCCGGAAGGTAACCCAGCTTTTGATATTTTCTATTCAACCTGTTGAGAGTGATGTTATTACATACCTCTAGAGCCGGTGGGGCATGAACCCAGGCCTCCTGTCTCAGAGGTGTGGATGCTACCACTACACTGTAAGAGCCCTAGAAAGCCAGCTCTTTATTTTATATTCAGAAGTGCTCTTGGCACACAAATGACTAGCTTGATTTTTCCCCCAACACTAAATCCCCTGTGGTGCCTTTTTCATCTATTAACCATTGTCAGTAAATCACCCACATTCTCCAGTTGATTTGTTTATGTGCAAAGCCTGTTAAGGACAATGCAAATCATCAAAAGGTGAGGAACAGGGGCTGGGGGCTAAAGCAAAATGGAGTTGGAAGATGAGATAAAACACTTTGCGGTGCACACCCCCTTTCTCTAAAGACAGTGAGAGCATTGATTGACACTGCGTGCTCTCTCTACAATGACACCAGGGTATGAACATAACCGTGGAAGAGGGGCAGAAAGTCAGCAGTTATGACTCACTCCACAGCCCGCTGCCTGATGGAACAACGTCTTTTGTTCTTAAATCAACTTGTTCAGCTATGTTATGATCCACCTCTGGAACAGGAGAGGCTTGAACCCAGACCTTGTGGCTCAGAGGTATGGACACTACCACTGCATCATTGTGAATAAACTCAGAACAGTGGGCATAACTCCCAGCTCCTCCTCTCAGAAACCCAGCCCTTCAGGACGAACTCCAACCAGCTTCACCTGCTCTCCATCAAATCTCTAACTGTCCTGGTTTGCCCTGCAATTCAAATATTTGCTTTTACTTTGAAGACAATATTTAAACAAGAGCACAGAGGTGCAAATTTAAAAACAAATTTCATATTTCCACTGTTAAATAGCAAGATATCACTTTTCTAGAACTGTCAACAATTTCACAGCAGGGGCCATTCTTCCTGATGATTGATGACTAATATCTCACCACCCAATGGAATCATAGGGATCATGGACACAGACCCTTCAGTCTAACCAGTTTATGCTGACCAGATATCTTAAACTGATCTAGTCCGTTCCTATTCATATATCCACCCAGATGCCTTTTAAACGTTGTAATTGTACCAGCCTCCACCACTTTGTCTGGCAGCTCATTCCATACACGCACCATGCTCTGTGTGAAAAATTTGCCCCATGGTCCCTTTTATATCTTTCCCCTCTCACTTTAAACCTATGCCTCTAAGTTTTGGATTCCCCAACCCTGGGGAAAAGACCTTGGCTATCCACCCTGTCCATGCCTCTCGATTTTATAAACCTCCATAAGGTCACCCCTCAGCCTCCAACACTCCAGGGAAAATAGCCCCAGCCTATTCAGCCTCTCCCTATAGCTCAAACCCTCCAGCCCTGGCAACATCCTTATAAATCTTTTCTGAACACTTTAAAGTTTCACAACATCCTTCCTACAGCAGGGAGACTAGAATTGAAGGCAGTATTCTAAAAGTGGCCTAAACAATGTCCTATACAGCAACAAAATGACCTCCCAACTCCTATACTCACTGCACTGACCAATACAGTTAGAGATTTATTTCCTCTCCAGCATCTGCTTTAAACTGGCTGTACCTATCCTAAGCCCTTTTCCACTTACACTTCTTGTAGCATATACATTATCCCACAAAGACCAATTATCGTTATAACATTCCACCGATGTTGTTCTTTCAGTCCCTTTCACAGAGAGAATTTCCTCCAAGATCCATGACAAATAAAAAAAAACCACATCAACAGCTCATGTGCTCTTCACACACTTTTCACTTTCTTTATCTCCCAGGCCAAAGGACAACTTTCCCCATTTTCTCCCACAAGGACAATCACAAATCCTCCTGTTCTGGGAAATCCATCACTAAGTTTTGTCTGTGAGGCATCATTAAAACTGATTAATATCAAATTATTGGGGGCACGCAATGTTGAAAACTTCAGCATACACTTACCCATGTTCAATTCATTTAAAGTTTGACTTGCTCTCAAGATGTCCTTCACCTTTGGATTTTTCACGGTCAGGCTAAGTTTGAGTGCAAGGGAGGGAGCTGCAAACAATTGTCTACCCAAAATATGTTTCTTTTTCCAACAGCCACAACTCTTTGTTTCAAAAGAGAACCATTACCCTGAATTAGAAAGGCCCCTCAAAATCAAATTTAATTTTATGTGAGATTTTGCATGAAAGCCAGAAAAACACTGTGGATGTTCTAGATTGAATATTAGTCTCACACTCCATGATATATTCCTCCATGAATGGATTGTCCATCTTATTACATTTACCAAAATATTGACCTCACCTCATGGGCTTCCAAACAAGACATCTTTTGTAAATTTTGTCTATAAATTGTATCAGAACTGGCAACCATGCTTTGGTATCCAAGTCAATTACATCCACAATTTCTTCATCTCCGGTTTTACTCCTCCTTGGTAAGCCAGACCTCGCTTCTTCCTGATTAGAGAACTGACCCAAATTCACACCTCTCCCCACACCCCCCTCCCTCACCATCCCACTGCTCATGTGACTCCAACTCTGCAATCAGAATTCATCATCCTGCAGCGAGACACAGCCATTTCATTTTGGAAGTTGCCGGGAGCTTTGGTTTTGTCAGGAACAAAGATGGCCCTCCGCTTTCCGTAACCTCCTACCTGAAGAGACTGAGGTTAATTCTCTACCACCATGTTTTACACACTGATATCCACAGACTGAATCAGGCAACAGATGACTGTCTGTGGTTTAAAGTACAGTTGTTAAACTCTAAGTATAACTTCCAGTTTCTACCCTCCCCTTCTGGATTCTCTCTCTATCCAGAAGCCAACTCTGCTTCTAGGGAACAAGCACAGCTCTTTACTACAAACTTCAATGAGCGCTTCCTGCTCTCATTAACTCTTTAAAAACAAACCAGCAGCAGAGACCAGAATTGTAACATTGGCAGGAGAGATGGGTCAAACTTGAAGCGATGGCTTCCCAAACGAGAAGCAGAAAAGTCATAAGAATTTAACATTCCATCCTGTGGTAGTGTCTCTACCTCTGAGCCAGGAGGCCAGCATTCAAGTCACACCTGCTCCAGGAGTGTGTCACAACATCTCTGAACAGGTCGATTAAAAATATCTAAAATCATTCCAATATCCAATACCATAAAGTACACTTCATCCAGCACCTCGTAAACCAGAACATTCCTCTATCACAGCATCAAAATACAGTCAGATAAACTTGCGACATGATAGTGGTGGTGCTGCTGGGAGAGACATTGTTTGAAGAGCTGCTTGAGGCTTCGCTCTTGTTAAGTATAGAGCAGTTTTATGTCTCAGATTACTGTGGCATAGAGCAGCTTAAAAGGATACGGTGTTGTCTCAAGCCTTGGGAGAAAATGAACACAGCTCACTTAAATACAAGCAGGAAGCACTGCTAACCAGCACATGACACAAGGATGGAGGGGGTTTCTTTCTATTACGGTAATTTTAGCTCAGTGGTTTCACAATGGAAAGACGCTTTGATCATTTCTTGGCAATGCCGGTCACTACTGAATGCTGCAAAGTTACATGCATCGTGTATTTTATGATCCTCTTCACTAACCGGCCTTTTGAAATGACTGACATGACCCAGTCCCAGCGTGTGCTGAATAACACAAGCTTTACAGTGATTCGAATACAGCAAGCCCAGAGCCGTTGCCTATTCTGGAGGTCAGTTACACCATGGCCACTGTGAAAGATCACTTCACTCCTGGTGGGAACAAACCCTTTTCCCCTGGAGGGTACACAGCAATTCGGTACTCTGCAAAATAATACTCTGCTGAAGGAGGTCTCTGCCAAAGCAAACTCAATATTTCCTGCAGCAATCTTCAGGGCACCTCGGTCAACAAACGTCTGAACCTTTCTCTTATGCATTCTAGTTACTCCTCAAAAGTCAATTACCTTTCTTCGACTTTGCTCCAATCTTCAGTTTTGACGGCCAGGCTATTTGTGTGTTTGTTTCCTCCATAATCTGTTAAAAGATGTGAAAGAGAATGACAGCCTTAGTTGAATGGCTAGAACGCAAGATCTGTCACAGTCTGATACTGAACCAGCTCGATTCATCAAATGCACCTATTCCCTCTCTGGCAAGAGTCAGGGGTGACTTTACTGATTACTTGACGATCAGCCAGAATCTCAAACAACGACAAAGAGAGAGATATTCGTAAATTAGAACATGTCATGGACACCAACATCCTCTGAGAGGCCAGCAGTTTAGGCAGGGAATTTCAAAGCTGAGTTGAAGTGGAGGAGTCTGGAATGCACAATGTACAAGAGGTTAGCATAGAAGAACACAGCATTCTCAGAGCGATGGAAGAAGTTACAGAGCAGAGAAGGGGTGAGGCCATTTGAACAAGAGCACAAGAATTTTAACTAAGTTGTGGAGCATGAGTCAATTGCAGCAAGGTTTAGCAAATAACACTGCTTGCTGTAATGGCTCATTTTTGGCATGTCCTAAAATAAAAGCAGATGGTTAAAATTTGAGAAATAATTCTTAATCACAAGTAAATATTTCACATTAACAACAGTGCTGATACAAAGCTATACTAAAGCTGCGGTCAAAATTTACAGTTTGGGCCTCAACTGACTTCGGAGAGAGACAGTGTGAGGAGGGGGTCGCTTCTTAATGCTTCTGGTTTCAAGAAGGCATGGATTCCAGGATGGGGGTCAAACTCTGGTCAGAAAATTTCGAGTCCCCGAAACTACTTGGAAATTGTTCATATACGTCAAAAGGGAGGGTGACAGAGAAAGTGAGGGAGGGAGAGCAGGGAGAGGGGGAGGAAGAAGGGAGAGGGGAAGGGGGAGTGAGAGGGAGGGACAGCAGAAGAGAGAGTGGAAGGAAAAAAGAGGAGAGGGGAGAACGAGAGAGAGAAGAGGGGAAGAGACGGGAGGGAGAGAGGAGAGTGGGAGAGCAAGATGGAGAGAGAGAGAGGGCAGCTAGAAAGGGAGAAAGAGTGGGAGGAGAGTAGGAAAGAGGGAGGGAAAGAGGACAGCGAGTTAGAGAGCTGGAAGTAGGTAGGAGGACAGACAGAGTGTCATACTGCACAGAAACAGACCCTTCGGACCAACTCGTCTATGCCAATCACGCTTCCTGAACTAAACTAGTCCCATTTGCCTGCGTTTGGCCCATGTCCTTCTAAACCTTTCTTATTCATGTACCTGTCCAAGTGTCTCTTAGATGTTGTAATTATATCCGCCTCTACCACTTCCTCTGGCAGCTTGCTCCATTCATACACCACCATCTGCATGAAAAAGTTGGCCCTCGGGTCTGTGTGTGTGGGAGATCATGTCTCACTAACTTGATAGAGCTTTTTGAAGAGGTGACCAAGAAAATAGATGAAGGCAGAGTGGTGGGCATTGCCTCCATGGACTTTAGCAAGGCCTTCGACAAGGTTCCACATGGTAGACTGTTAAGTAAGGTTAGATTACATGGGATCTTGAGGAAGCTAGCCAATTAGATACAACATTGACTTGATGGTAGGAGATAGAGCATGGTGTTAAAGGGTTGGCATTCAGGCCTGTGACCAGTTGACTATCCCTAATCAGTCCTTGCCTTTCCAAATGCATGTAGATCCTGTCTCTCAGAATCCCCTCCAACAACTTACCCACCACTGACATCAGGCTCAGCTGTCTATAGTTCTCTGGCTTTTCCTTGCCGCCTTTCTTAAATAATGGCACACTGTGTGAAAGAGAGCATCTGCGAGAGGAAGAGAGAGTGTGCAAGTGCATGTGTGAGCGAGGGAGAGTGTATCTGTGAATAAGAGAGTGAGTATGTCAGTGTGTGAGTGAGCGAGTGAGCGACAGAGTGTGAGAGAAGGAGAGAGAAAGACAGAGTCAGAGATCTGAGATAGTAGGAACTGCGGATCTGACTGTTAAGGAAATGGACACAGATCCTGCTTCATGTTGAATAACAATCTTATAGCAGTGCTGACTGATGCATGTTCTCATACCTTTTTGCATCAACACCATTGTATGAACAGACTACTTACACAACCATGTTCCAGGCCTGTCTGTCTGGTTGGGTGCCATAATAACTACCACATTTATCACAGTAACACAAGATCCTGAGACTACAGAAAAGTGAAAGAAAACTGGAATGATTACATTTATAATACTACACCTCAGGAATTGAGCTTTGATTGAACAAAAGACTGAAAGCTGCAAATGAAGTCTCTCAAGAGCATAACAAAATGATGAAGAAAAAGGGATTTGAGGAAAGGGTGAAATGTGGGTTTGGAGATTCTGTTTATAAAGAGTCCAATAAAAACTGACTCATTTATCTTCTGGTATCTGATTCTAACAAGGGACATCCACCCAAAATAACGACCCGCCTTTACTAAAATCAGATGCTGTTCAGCCTTTCTAACACCTTCTGGCTTTAACATCCCATTTCATTCATGAAAGCTCAGCTAATTTTTTTTGTAATCAGCCATCCATATGGCAAAGTGTTAACAGCATTGTTTGCAATCCTATTGAATCCTGTTTTTCTATTACTTCCAAGGTTCCTGCCAAAAACAACTCCAAGAAGGAGGTTACAATAATAGAGAGTTCCTCAAAAAGCCAGCACCACTTTTGTGGGAATGCTCCTTGTCTGAAACACCCACAGACCACAGGTAGTCAGACAGTCAGCGAAAAGACAGGGCATGGAGCCACACTAGGCTTGTTATTGAGGAGGAGGAAAGTGACTGAGCAAAGCTGGGCCAGGAGGAGAGGGATAGGGGGAAGAGGATGGGGGGGGGGGGGGGGGGGGAGGGGGAAGGAGGTGAGAAAAGGGGGAAGGAGAATGCAAGGCGGGGGGCAAGAAAAAGGGAGGGAGAGAAAGAAAACACAGAGAAAGAGTGAATGGTTAAAAGGGAGTGAGAGGAAGGAGACAATGAGAAGGAGAACATAAAATTGGAAAGAAGAGAGGAGATTGGGGAAATGAAGCAAACAGAGAGTGTACAGGGAGAGGGGGAGGGGGTAGAGGGGTAAAAGAATGAAGCAGATGTGACAGGGACTGAATTAGTTCAAAACAATTAAATACATTTGGGTCCCAAACCGAAACGTCAACTTTCCTGCTCCTCTGATGCTGCCTGGCCTGCTGTGCTCCTCCAGCCCCACACTGTTATCTCAGACTCCAGCACCAGCAGTTCTTACTATCTCTAAATACGTTTGAATTGGGATTGTGACCCGTTGTGTCTACAAGCCTCTATAAGGCTTGGGTGAGCTTGAAGACCCAAATTTGAGGCTAGAGACCTAATTTAAATTTTGGAAGAATATGTAATAAATAAATATTCCTCCTTTCCTGTTAGCTGAAGTTGTGTTTTATCGAAACTCATTCGACTGTCGCTCAAAGTGCTGTGTAAATTATTACACAGTACCTCTGGATCAACTTCAAAACTTAGCTAAAGCTGCTCAATAGTTTCATAAAATACCAGCAACAATTGGGGCTGCACAGTGGCTCAGTGGTTAGCACTGCTGCCTCACAGCACCAGGGACCCGGGTTCGATTCCACCCTCGGGTGACTGTCTGTGTGGAGTTTGCACATTCTCCCTGTGTCTGCGTGGGTTTCCTCCGGGTGTTCCGGTTTGCTTTCACAGTCCAAAGTTGTGCAGGTTAGGTGGATTGGCCACGCTAAATTGCCCGTAGTGTTCAGGGATGTGTAGATTAGGTGGGTTACAGCCATTACATTAGACCCTGCCCAGCCTGGGCTGAGGTTACCACCTGGGTCAGTGCACCCCGATATACCTAGAGAGATGCCAAGTGCTGTAGGAAAAAGGTCAATATCCTTCTCCAATCCACCAGCGTTAATACTCCCATCTTCTGTCCAATACCTCACACTCACTCTGTCTCTCTCTGCTCCTGCACCCACCCATTCCCCCTCTCCCATTCTCATTGTTATCTGCAGCATCTTGCTTCAGTCACTGTCACCCACCCCAACCACTAAACCTGCATGACCTGCATGCCTTCTGTGGTGCCCACTCATTCACTCAGGACAGCTCCCCACCTGCAAAAATAGCAATAGTTGTGCCACTGACCATCAACTGTTAATACCCGTGCCTCCCACATTCCAGGAGGAAAATAGCCCCCAGTAGAGTACAAAAGGGGTGGTGGACTGCTCGTTATTCAGCTCCTCACCCCTTATGACTCAGCCCCAAGTGGCTCACTGACTGTGTCCAAGCCCCTGCAGTGGTATTGGAGGCTGCCCACAACCAACTGTGTCAGGACCCCATGACTGAAGGTTCACTTGTCTGAGTATTGGTGACAACCATTGAAAAGCCTCCTGGCTTTGTGTCTGTGCTCAGGGGCTTGCAGAAGTGATAACAGCTGATAGCTCTGACTGGGGAAGCAAAGTGACAAATGCTTAGAGCGAGTGCTATGACAGTGAGTGATGAGCCTGGTCCAGTCCATGAGCTGAGTCTGTGTTCCGGAGCACACAGAGTCCTTGCTGCAGCATTACACAGTGAGAGCTAACAACGCAGCCTGAACTGCAGCATTGATATGTATAAGTGTCCTGTAAGGGGACTGGAGATGCACCATAGAAGGTTCTTAGAGGCAGGCACATAGCAGATGTCAATGTCTGTAGACATGGGGCGAGTGTGTCCTGAGATGTTGATGCCCAGTGTTCAACATGAAGGTCATTCAGAACAAGTTGCAAGCTGACTTGGCCAAGGACCTGCTCTGGTCTCCATGCCACATTTTCTCAACATGCAGCTTGTTTGACAAGATAGGAAGGTGAATATTGATGAGGCGAGTTGGGCCATCAACAAGACATTTAACAACCAGCAATTGCCTTTGATTGGTAACTCATCAGTGCCTTGTGAAAAGCTAACCACGCCTCGTGAAAAGCACTGAAGATGGAGCAGGATGTAATAGGCCTCATGAAAAATCTTCTCACAAACCTCACCATAGTCCACATCATTCCGGCCCCTATTACATTCCGCTCTTGGTAACTTAAATATTTCAAACTTTTATCTTCAGAAGGAAGAAAGG